TATTAATTAGGCCCTATAGGTAAACTAAATCAGGTTACAGTTTAAACCACTTAGAGTGCTCACCATATGCTAATCTGAGAGGGGACGTTTACATATCACCAAGGTAACCAAGAAAACTGACTAAACATAGCACCATGAAACAAAGGCCAGAGTAATATAATTATGAACATCAATGTTAAATAACATGAAGTCTCCTTGTAACCTGGTAACCCACTCCCAACGTTCATTCAATCAGCACATTTTATCTTGAGGCCCAGATATCCCATGTAGTCCCTGATTCCTGGGAACATCTCCCCTTGGACATTCTGGAATAGGCCTCATCCTCCGGGCAGCTCTGAAGCAGGTTGCTCCTAGCAGATCTGCTTCTCTGGTTCCAAGTCACTTGTAGAGATTCCTAGGTAATTCTGCTAAGTCCTGTTAGTAATAAGACTGCATAATTCAGTAAACCTTATCAAAATCTAATCAGATTGGCTTTTGTAATTAGTTCATGTGGTGAGAACTAACTCAAACCATAAGGTCTAACCCTACTAACAACAGAGCTATAAGAAGGACAACAATTAGGAATCCATAATTCACCTGAAACTTCAAAGAATTTCAGTTTTTACATACCACCCGTTCTTCCTAACTTTACCAAAACTCTGTATCTGCTATGGACAATGTCATTCATAAACTGAAAGAATAATCTTAAAATCCATGAGAGCCTGACTTATTTATAAAATGAGTCTTTCTATCTTTTATTATTTTCAGATAGGGACTTCAAAATAGGAGAACGGTATTACTAAAACATAATCAAGTCTGTATTTCCCCTTAGACACATTTGGAAGCCAAACTAGCAGCTAGTTATTTAGATTTCTAACAGTTTAATTTTGTTGCTTTCTCAAAGTTCCCTACTTGATTAAATTTAAAACTTTTATATCTTTGTCTTATTTCCCCTTTTGGAGGATACACACACACACACACACACACACACACACTCACACATTCCTCATGTCATCTTGAACGAATGAGGTACTTTAAGGACCTAATCTTATACATAAATATATAGCTATGAACAAGGGAATGGCAAGACACTCTATGAGAGGGCTGGCACATACACCTAGGAAAGTGAGATGGGAGATCATGGGTTCATTTGTAGTAGCTACATTCTACATATCACTAAACCTAATAATTTAGAATTGCACTACGACTTTTGAGACACTCTGTATATGAAAAATTCTTAATGCACACTAAGGAGAGACTAAGACTGAAAACTTTAAACCTGAACTGAGAGGTGGATCTGGGTCTTGGGAGGCAACTCAGACTAGTCTTTCCTCATTTTATTCAGAGGAAGAAAATGGGGAAGTAGAGGAGAAAAGAGAAGGCAGAGGGATGGGTTGCTCTCTTTGTGTGTACTGAGTTCTAATCAGCAAATTCTTCCTTATCTTCCTTTGCATGCAGGGACTGTGATCATTATATAGCTGACATCCCTCAGTCATTTGTGGCTGGCTGTGGAGAAGAAATGACAGTTGACCTGTGTGGCCTGGGAAGATTTTCTCTATCACCAAAATCAGAGTTCACAGAGCCTACCAACTTGGGACTTCTTTACACAGTGGGAAAGCTGAAAGCTGAGAAATTTTTGGTTCATCCCAAAAGATTTTGGCTTAGTTTCCATTATCTGTAAGATGGAACCAAATGATCATTATCTCTCAGTCTTTACTGAGTACCTACTAAGTGCTCAATACTACTGGGTGATAGAGAAACAAAAAAAAAAATCTCAGGCCCAGTTGGTCCCTTCTTGAACAATCTAGTTGGAGAGACAAGACATAAGATACACTAAAGGAGAAATTAGAAAAGGTTTGTTTATTTTTGTTCTTTGTTCTCGAAGAGGACCAGTGAGTGACATCAGGCAGGTGTCTTGACTTGCAAGTGAGTTGGATTTAAGTGAGGGAGGGCTGTGCAAAGTCATCAGCCTCACTCTCTCCTCCAGAGCCATCTGGATCCAGTGGCAAGATATAGATCAGGACGATGGCCCCACTCTTCTTAGGCCATGCTACCTTTGAAGTATTAAGTTCTAAAGTCAGAGTTTAGAGGAAGTAAAGGATATGACGAGAATAATGAGAAGGACTGCATTGGGGGAAAATTTCTTTTAACCTTAACCATTTCTTCTCAGGCATTCCACCACCTGTCTTAACTCCCTACCCTAAGTCACTTTCTACTCTTTGACTCACTTCCTAGTTCTGTGTATCAGTGTTTCAGACAAATCATTCTTTTTATAGTTATAAGATACAACTCAAATTTATACTGCTTTTGAAAGTTTGCACAGTGTTTTCCTCAGTGTGAGTTTCCTGTGAGATAAGAAGTCCGAATATTCCCATCCCTCTTTGGCAGATGAGGAAACTGATATTTGGAGGGCCACATGGCTCCTGACAGGAATGGGAATTGAAACCCAACTTCTCTTGACTCTGTGCCCAGTAGTAATTTCCACAAAACAGGTAAACTGAAAGGATAGGAAGGTGCTACTTAATCCAAGTTAATGAGGGTCTGGGCAGAGGCTTCTTAACTGGTAGGGCCAAGCATCCATGAGGTTAGTGCTATCCAGGTGTCCCTAGGTTCCCCCAGCAAACACAAGAAAGGGAATGGCAGAGCCAGAGACCCTAAGACTTTGTCAGCCACTGCAGCTTAAACGAAGACTAGCAGAATTCCATCTGCTTACTCACCAAGTGAAAAATTAGTTTCTGTGAATTTTAAATGAGGCAATAGAAGACTAAATCTTACACTACCAGGACCTATGTCCAAGGAAAACAAAACATTGAGACCAAATTATCTTGTAGTCTAAATAAGCCTGGTAATAGAGTCAAAAATATAGAAAAGGTTATATATGCCTGCTCAAGGATCCAGGGATCCCAAACTTTCAGTCTCAAATCTTTATCTTCTTGCTGGGTTGGGGGAGGAGGTGGTACACATTTTAAGTATATGACCTTATGGCACAGAAACATGTCTGTGGGTCATCTCAGCCATTCTCTAATCCTTAGAAAGAACTACACTTGAGTTTTTCTTATCTAAGCTTAAATCTGTTTTGCCAGATAAAAGGAAGACTCATCTTTCTGAGTTCAAATCTGGCCTCAGACACTTGCTAGCTGTGTGACCCTGGACAAGTCACTTACCCCTGTTTGCCTCAGTTTCCTCCTTGATAAAATGAGCTGGAGAAGGAAATGGCAAACTACTCCAGTATTTTTGCCAAGAAACCCCAAATAAGGTCACAAAGAGTTGGACATGACTGAACAACAAAATTGATAAATTTTCTCTGAACAGAAGATTATAGGTTCCTGGGTCAATTGAAAATGCCTGATTTGGAGGATTGCTGCTTAGAAACGAGTCTGGGTCCTTAGGACTTCCAACCTAACTCCCTTAGGGATTCATGAGAAAGTGTTAAGTCAAAACTCCAGGACTGAGCAGAACAGCTTTGAGTCTAAAAGCTAAAAGGGCAAAAAATCCTTTCTCTGAGCTCCTGCCAAATGTTAAGTCCTTGACTCCTGGGCCAGATCATAAGAAATAGATTTGGTGGAGAGAAGAGGAGAGGGAGTGTTGGGCCCTATATTGCTTTTCGTGCAGTGAAAATACCTATTTTCTGAACTAAAATGAAATCCAAGACTAGCTAGGTGGTCCTTTAGCCTACTCAAATCCAGAAAGGACCAAGTTCCAGGTTCTTCTATAACCCCGCCCAGCTGACATTCCACCTCTCTTCACATTTCAATTTCCAATTTTTTGAGACTTTTCCACTCATCTCTTATTGTTAACAACAAGGAAGGAATGCGTGTTTAAACTCTGAGACCCCAAGCCTCAGTGAGAATGCAGGACAGACAGCACAGATGGGTGTGTGAGCGGGCTGGGGAGAAGCAGTATTCCCCCCATTATGATACGGTGAGAGCACCGTATTTGATGTCAGAGGACTTTAGTTTAATTTTAGTTTAAATTTTGACTCTGATACTACCTGTGTGACAGTGAGTAAAACTCACGTCCCAAAACAAACTTACTAACTTTCTTACCAAACACACCACTCTTCCTAACTTAAAAGCTCTCCTTTAAAGCCCATCATAACCTGGCCCATTCCTACCTTTCCAGTTTTCTTTCATCTTACTCCCCTCCATGTAATCTTCATCCAGTGACACTGGCTTCCTTGCTCTTTGGCTAACAATACACTCCAGCTCTCGGCTCTGGGAGTTTTCACCGGCTGTTCCCGAATGCCTGGATCTCCCTCCCTCTTGATTTCCACCTCCTGGATTACCTGTCTCCTTCAAGTCTCAGCTGAAGTCCCACCTTCTATAGCCTTTCCAAAACCCCTTAAGGCTACTACCTCCCTTTCGTGATTTTTCCTTTATATCGCTTGTTTGATCCTAGTCTTTTTCACGTTGTTTTCCTGAATTAAGTCTGCAAAATCCTCGAGAGCAGGGACTGTCTTTTCCAGCGATTAGCAATGTGTTGCCAAACCCCGTAGGTACTTATTCAATGTTTATAGACTTTGTGGACCTCAGTTTCCTCATCTGTAAGATGAATTGGGTGACCTCTAAGGTCTCTTCTATCTCTAAATCTATGATCTCACGGGGCCCTTGTTCACAACCTGGCTAGCGGAGGGCAGTCAGCCCAAGTGCGTGCGTCCGGAGGTGGGTGTACCTGGCACAGGGAATGAGAAGGGGAGGAGGTTGTCGGTTGCGGAACAAGGCAGGGTTAAGGGTAGGGAAGCGAGATGAGAGAACGTGCAAGCAGGACTCCAGGGGCATGGCGGGAGACTGGCCAGCAGACACCTCCGGGAGCCGCAGCGGCAGGTGCGCTCTGACCAGCAGGCTCAGGGTTGCCTGAGTGCTTCTTCTCCCGATCCACTAGCTTGGGCTAGTCTCTTCCGGGCGCCCCTGACCTCAGCGGCGACTCCCCGCTTCCTTCTGACTCCCTGCCCACTTTGCCGGGTCCCTTCCTCCTTCCCCTCCCTCCCTTTCCTCCGCAGGCAGCGGGTCGGGGATCCCTACCTGTGCGGTCAGTCTTGGTCTGACTCAGACTCAGCCGGTGCCCTGCCAGTTGATATAGAAAGGGGTGCACAGTAGGGAGCCGTCCAAGCAATCAGGGTTCTTGGTAGCAACTAAACCTGAGCGCTCACCCCGCCCCTCCAGCAGGAACTGTGTCAAGGGTTTAAAGCTGTTCCCTCCCTGATTCCCTTTCGCCCGCCTGGCATTTCCTAGTGAGCTGGACCATAGCCCCACCCGAATCTTTATCCCCAAGGATTGCCTTTCTTCCCGAGGGCTGTGAATCAAACCTCTCAAGCTTTTCTTGAGTCACCTCTTTCTGCCCCTGCTTCAGGGGTGGGTGTCCCAGGATCATACAGATCATTTAGAACAATGCCCCCATTTTATAAAGAAGGAAACTGAGGCCCAGAGCAGTTACCCAGGGCAGTTTTGCACAGTGTCCTACCTCTTTCTTTTCAAGGTAGCTACCCCACACTACATCCTCTAACAAGAGTGGGACCTGTCACATTCAGGAGAAGTAGTAAGGGAGTTTCTGTGTAATTCAGAAATCTTGTTTTATTTTTTCTTCTATCTCCTGTTGTTTATCTCTTGGCCTTCCCACTGTTCATTAGCACTTAGAACCATGGAAAGGAAAATTGCCAGTTCTGCAATTTGTCAGTGTCTCCTGATAAAAGCATTAGTGAGGGAAGATCCAGGAACTCTTGTCTAAATGTGGCTAATGGGCTGTATCATGTCCTTCACAGGAAATGGAGAGTGGGAGAATGGGTCACTAACTGGCTAGACCTAAGAATATGATATGACATTTCCTAACTCCAAACTGATTAAGCCTCAGTAGTAGCTGCTCCAAGAAATGGCAGGAAGATCTCCCTTTTCTCTGCCTCTGCAACATCACTGGACTCTGAAAATGAGCATCATAGAGTGCCAAGGCAGACCGCCTTAGGGAAATAAGGTAGCATTCCTATCCCAATTACAGTCAAAACTAACCCACTCTCACCCAGGAGACTATCAAATCATGTGCCCTGGGGAATGTGTGACAAGAGGCTGAGGCTGAGATGAAAATACTCAAAGCTATTAAGCCAGCATTCTGCTCAACAATCTTTTTATTTTATTTTTAAATGTTTTATTTAAACGACATTGCTGTCACTTCTTGTTGAGGCCCCATCATTCTCTACTGCTCCCTATCACCAGTAGAATCATTCCTTGTAACAAAGAAATATATTTAAACAAAAATAAATCAAAACCTTTGTCATGTTTGCTTCATCTCACACCTAGAGAATGCGGCCCCTCTGGAGAGAGGTGAGAGGCAGGTGGAGGTTTCGTTTTTTCAGACCTGGGAAGTCCCATTGGGTCACTGCACTGATCAAGGTTCTGAAGTCTTCCTATGTTTTCTTTTACTTTGCCAGTAAACTCTGTTCTAACAGTTAAGCCAAGAAAATCAAAAGCAGTTGGTCACTAAGCAGCTGAGAATGATTTGCATTGTAAGAGCTTAATAAATGGTTTTGGAATCAAACAATTGTTAATTAGAGTTGTTGAAGAAATGTGTCAGTTAGAAGAGGACTTGTTAACTATTGGCAGAGACCAAGTTCTATTGGAGTCTGAGCCAATGGTAATACACCTTATATCCCAACAAAGATTCAGTTTTTAAATCCCTGCTTTTATGAAATTTTGGCAATATTTAGAGTCAAAGGATATAGTTCGAATTGCAACTGCTACTTACTGCCGATGTGACTCCTGGGAAGTTACTTCAGGACTTTAAAGCTTTTTTTTTTTTTTTTTTTTTTTTTTTTTTTTGCTTTTTGGGGAAGCAATTGAGGTTAAGTGACTTGCCTGGGGTCACACAGCTAGTAAGTGTCAAGTGTCTGAGGCCAAATTTGAACTCAGGTCCTCCTGACTCCAAGGCTGGAGCTCTATCCACCGCACCACCTAGCTGCCCCTTCTTTAAAGCATCCTTAAGGAAATATTGGCATTCCGTGAGTAGAACGGATAATTTTTACTTCATGTCTCACTCAGGGAGACAGTGCGGTACAGTGGAAAGAACACTGAATTTGGGGTTGCAGGACCTGAGTATGGATCCTGGCTCTGCCACTAAGGATCTCCGTGACCTTGGGCACGTCACTACCTCAATAGACTTCCATTTCCTTATCTTTCCCCCCCAAACCCTCCAATCTTCCTAACTTCCCTATTCCTGGCAAGGGCACCATTTTCCTCCCAGTCACTGAGGCTCTCAACCTGTGTGTCATCCTCAATTCCTTATTCTCTCTCACCACACTCCTCTCTCCACTCTGTTGCCAAGTCCTGTCGTTTCTACCTTTGTCACATTTTCAAAATATACTCCCCTTTGTCTCCTCTAAAGCTGTCCCCACCCTGGTGCAGGCCTCGTGGAGTATTGCAATAGCCCCTGGGGGGGTCTCCCTCCGTCTAGCCTCTCTCTGCTTCTCTACTCTCTCTGTTCTCTCTAACCAGGTGCCAAAATGATTTTCCTACAGCAAAGATCTGGCCAATAAACCAATAAATGGCCCTATTCAGTAAACTCTGGTAGATCCCTATCCCCTCCAGGATCAAATATAAAATACTATTTGGCATTTGATAGTCTTTACAACTTTCCTCCTTCCTATCTTTCCAGTTTTGTTACATTTTGCTTCCCCACCCCTGCTCTATGTACTCAGCGAGATAGCCCAGTGGATAGAGCAATGGGCCCAGAGTCAGGAAGAACTGAGCTCAAATCCAGCCTCAGACACTTACTAGCTGTGTGGCCCTGGGCAAGTCACTTCACTCTGTTTGTCTCAGTTTCCTCATCTATAAAAATGGGCTGGAGAAGGAAATGGCAAACCACTCCAGTACTTCTGCCAAGAAAACTCCAAATGAGGTCACGAAGGACATGGCGGAATAACAACATGTACTCTATAATCCAGTGACCCTATTTTTTTTTTTTTTTTTTTTTTGCTGTTCCTTGCACTCCATCCCCTAACTCCTTGTCTTCTTACTGGTTGTCTCTCATGGCTGGCTGCTCTTCCTTCTCACCTCAACCTTTTGGCTTCCCTGGCTTCTTTCCAGATTTACCTCAAATTACACATTCTGTAGGAGGCCTCCAGCTTTCCCAGTGATTACCTTTCATTTACTTGGTAGATGTCTTGCATGTACATAGTTATTGGCACATCGTGCCTCCCTGGGAAGATGAGTTCCTGGAGGGCAGGGACCTTATGTTTTGTTTAGTACATTGCCTGGAAAATTGTTAAAGCTTAACAAATACTTGTGAACTGGTTTAGCATTTTATCTCTCAGAATTGTTTCTCTGGGCAACAGGGAAATGAAATTAAGTCTCAAGTCTTTAATGAGCTGGAGAAAGAAATGGCTAGCCACTCTCGTATCTTTGCCATGAAAACCCCCAAAAGAGGTCACAGAATCAGACATGACTGAAAAAACTCCACAACAGAGACTTAGGATGAAAAATTCTGTCCACCTTCAGAGAAAGAACTGATGGAATCTGAATGAAGATTGAAGTATACCATTTTTTATTTTATTTTTTTCGTGTTTTTTGTTTGTGTTTTCTTTTACAAAATGACTAATATGATAATATGTTTTGCATGGCTGCACATGTATAACCTATATAAAATTGCTTGCCATCTCAGAGAGGGAAAGGAAGGGAGGAAGGAGGAGAATTTGGAACTCAAAATTTCAAGAAACTAATGTTAAAAATTGTTTTTACATGTAGTTGGGAAAAACAACAACAAAAAAAAGCCTTTAAATTCGCCAGAAATACATTAAGCACATTGACTCATAGTTTGTAGATTCTTTTCCCGGCCCCTTTTAAAATTGGGCCAGCATTGGCCCTTCTGCAGCGCTGAAGTGGCCTTTCTGTTCTGCATGGTCACTCAAAGGTCACAGACTTGGGCTAAGAAATCACCTGCTAGTTCTGTCTTAATACTGGCATTTGGTGCAGTGGATCGCTCGGGACTAAGGTTCAGACAAATCGAGCTTTTACTTAAAAAAAAGCAGTTCTCAAGAAGCAGTTCAGGAAGATATAAACTAACTGATAAAAGTCACCAACAAAAAGGTTAAACAGACTCAGCAAAGAGATTTTCAAACTCCAAAGTCCAAAAACTCCTTCTATACTCTCCTGGTCCAGAGGGTCCATGGGGAGGGGTGGGAGGAGGGGGGGTGGTGGTGATGAGGGAAAAAGTGGGGGGATAGGGGGCAGATTAATCTACTGCGGGGCAAAGTTGTCCCATCCTCCTCCAGGTTTGGCCCACGACTTCCTGGCTCACCACAACACCAGCCAGGACTGGCCCTAGCTCACATTTCCCCAGTTCTACCTGTTTCCTGTCCCATAACAAACTCAATGAGGGCAACCAGGTGCTCTCTTATTTCCCTACTGGTCTTGGGTTTCAACTTACTGTTAACCATTTTATTTGAACCTTCCCTAGAAAAGAAAACAGAAGCAAAATGCAAACTGAGTAGTTAGGTCTTCTCAACCATGATTATTATTCCATCTGCCCCAGGCAATGATTATATAATTGCTTTTATTCTTCTCTTGCCTCAAACACAGCTAAACAAACAGGGGAAAAAAATAGTCCTTTTTGTTGTCCTTAGCGTTTGGTGCAGGGCTCAGCTCATTCTGGGCTTCAGCACTCCTGACATTATTATTACAGAGCATGGCTTCTCTTTCCTATTCATTTGCAATTACCTGCAAGCCCCTGCTTCCATTTTATGTACGTCTAAAAGCTGATTGATAATTTCCCTATGTGGCCATATTCTTAGATCTCTCTTTTCTTTTTCTAGGAATCCTCTCTGGCTATATTTCAGAGTATCACTCTTGACGTTCCCCTTGGACTAACTTCCCCTATCAAAAATTAGGATACTGGGGGGCAGCGAGGTGGCACAGTGGATAGAGCACCAGCCCTGCAGTCAGGAGGACCTGAGCTCAAATCTGGCCTCAGACACATAACACTCACTAGTTGTGTGACTCTGGGCAAGTCACTTAACCCCAATTGCCTTCACAAAAAAAAAAAAAAAAAAGAAAGAAAGAAAATTAGGATACTGATTCCAACATGTCCAAACTGTATTGAGTCACATTTCTAGAGAGTTTTAAGGTTTGCAAAGCAGTTTACTCACAACAATGCTGTGAGGTAGACGGTTCCAAGATTATTACTT